CAATTTCTGTGCTGATTGTGGTGAGAAATTTGTGAAAAAAGGGTTTAAACACAGTAAAATGTGCTCCCTGAAGCTGTACTACACTCTTATTGGTAAATGAAAGTATAATCAAATTAGCCAACATATTTAATAAAACAAAGACAGAAGGAGTGTGGGACTTTGAGATCGTTCTAAATAAAATATATAGTAGATTAAACTTTTGAAATCAACCAAAGGCATTACTGAGGGTACCAATAAATGGAGTATCCACTTTTTATAAATGACCTTTAGCTTAGAATCGCTCATCACTGACAAGATGGGGCTCCTGTGCGTCTCTCCTGGTTTCATCTGCTTTCTTTTAAACACAGGAAATTAAGTCAAAGGGTAGTTAAATATTTGTGTTTATTTTTGCTGCTCTTAACAGAGAGAATTTCCAAACATCAGCCAACGGCTGTCCATTAGCAAAATCAGAATTATCATGTCTGTCTGTCTGGCAGATTTAAAATTTGAAAACTTTTTTTGGTGCATTTCTGTTTTTTATTTCCTTTAATCTCCTCTGTTTGTATGTTTGCTTTTAGCCTGTGCATCAAACGAGCAAAAGTTTTCCCAAATTCATCCAGTCATGAGTATTCTTGTTTTAAAATATTTAAAAGGGTAATGTTAAAGTATAAATTTGTTCAACTTATTTTAGTAAAAATAAGTCCTTTATTATTATTATAAATTTACAATAATAATAATTACTATTATTATTAAAATAATTTATTATTGTAATTATTATTAATAATAATAATAATCAATATTATTATTATTATTATTATGTTTTTTTATTGTCAATATACAAAAGTCTAAATTCCAAACTAAAATATAAAATGGTTATTATGATAAAAAAAAGAAGTATCAATGTTACAGCTGTGTCTGGCTTTTTCCCAGCCAGGTCTTTAGACAAACTTTACAACTTTGCCGACTGCGCGGGACTGCACCTGATTTTTGGGCTGAATGCCCTGCACAGAAACCCTGACAACTCATGGAACACCTCCAGTGCTGTGAGTCTGCTCAAATACAGCGCCGGCAAAAAATACAACATCTCCTGGGAGCTCGGCAATGGTGAGTCCTCACTGTTGCAGATTCAAACATGATCTTTTGCATTATCTTTGACGTGATATCGGTCTGTGATATGGAATGTTCTACATCTTCCATGCATGTATGAAAGAAAAAGGAAGCATCCATCCCATCTAGCAGTGATTAACTTGTGTGCCGTTGTGTAACTAAAGGTTTACAGGTTCAAACCTTGACACTTCACTCACTCCATTGAGTTCAAATTTGAAACATCAAAAAACATAACAATAATCCACAAGTAATGTAAGTAATCGACAAGCTGTGTGTTTATAAGAAACAAATCCATCAAGACATTTTTAACTTCAAATCGTTGCTTCCAGCTAAAATACGAGTCCTTTATCCTTAATATTGCTTTCTCCAGTGAAAAAGTAGTTTCGTCTGAATCGGGAGAGAAATATGCACAGATCAAGCAGCATTACAAGAAAAACAGTTCTAAACAAATATGTTGGTGGATTTTGATGTGAGAGGACAACAGGGGATGGACTTTTTCACTGAAGGAAGCATTATTATGGATTATGGACTAGAGAGAAATAAATAGAAATTATAGATTTGTTTCTTACAAACACACACCGTTTCACTTCACAAGATGTTAATTGATGGACTGGAGTCGTGTGGATTACTTGTGGATTGTTGTGATGTTTTTATTAGCTGTTTGGACTCTCATTCTGACGGCACCCATTCACTGCAGAGGATTCAGGAAATATTATACATGATGGGATTAATAGGAAATATTCCTAGGAAATAGGAAATAATAAAGTTTATTTCTCTCTCTCTCTCTCTCTCTCTCTGTCTCTCTCTCTCTCTGTTTTATGTATCTTTTTTAATTTATTTTTTTTAATGCATGTGTGTATGTATTTATGTTCCAGCAAGAAATGCTCTCAGAGTTTGAGGGGGGAAAAATACTAAATTTGAGAGAAAGCCCATAAAAACACACTCAGCAACTGTATTTTGTTTTCTGGTGTCTTCTCATTGACCATCTTCCACTTGAGACACTTGTAGTGCTTGATGTACAAAAGCTGAAAATAGAGAATTATGGTTATTTTTCTTATAGAAGCAGTCTTTACCGGCGCAGTAAAAGTGACCGACATGGGCAATTCAGATGGGTTTCAAAATCACAGGGAAGCTCTGATCATTATTGCATGACCCCACCTCTTCATATAAAACTAATCCCATTCGAATAGGGCTTATGTCAGGAGACAAATTCACAAACAGAATCCAAAAGGACACCTGGTGACTTTGTAATCTGCTCTAAGCACTCATTCACTCATTCATCTATTGTCCTGTGCCAGACATGCTGCAAATTGCCCCATTCATGTTGCTCTTGTATCAAATGTCTCTCTATAAACATAAAAACAGCACAGAGTGTAAAACCTTTGACTGGAATAATTATGATCTTATGATGATATTGGTTCCTTTCATAAAATTAGACGGAATATAAGCTATGTTATTGACAGCATGTGTAGCCTGAAGTATCACACACTTTCCATACTAAACACTAAACCTATAAAAATACCAGAGACTGATTTAAGAATGTACACAGACCATATATTGTCTTAATCGTTTGTTTATTGGCTACATTTTGCATGTGTCAAAACGTTACTAGATGTTTGTATAGAAAAACTGCAGACATGCAGATCGCTGCTTTTGTTCTGAGACTGTCATATGAGACCAAAGGAAGCAGCACAATCTGCTCGTATTGAATGTAAGATGTAATTCATATGAAAATTTATTAAATAATATTATAATCTAATGTCTGTTACATAATACCAGTTTAAAAGGCATCCTTTGAACAGATTATTTTCATTTAACTAACTCTATTAAATGCATGTTATTACTGGAACAGCCATTTGAATGTTTGTCTTTCTGACTTCAGCTGTAACAATAACCACGTCTGAAGGAAAGCTGTTACCAAATCAAATCTTGTGGAGCTGTTAATTCAAAAACAAACAATTTCAAGCGAACAAAGATTCCAAATGAAGCAAAGAGAAATATTATCAGCTGTGGGTGGATGTTTATCGAGTGGGTCGTGCCAGTGTGACACAGAGTGACGCACAGGCACTGTGATGATTTATTTCATGATTATGTGTTATTTTGTGCTTTTTCTAAATGATAGGATCTGGAGAATATTTTAATGGATAATAATGCCTCATATTTTCCACTGGCCTCTGCCTGGCCCGGTACTGTATTGACACTACAGCTCAGCATCTCTATCCCAGACACAAACACACACTCACACAGGCTGTGATGTTTATACAGTTTGCCACTTGACTTCTGTAACGTCCTTGCTGTGATTTCAAGTGAGCACCTCCCAAAGTGTTGCCTTGTTTAAATAGTTTACAAAGTGCTGACCACAAATTAAGCGTTAGCATTAGTTCTGGCAGGTCACTTGAGTCAAGCTTGCATCAGCTGATTCTCAGCTGATCACACCTACCTATAGGAATACGACACCTATCGCGGCATTCCTATATAAGCTCTATTCAGTATTATTCAGCAGATTTTCAGCTTACTCCGGAGCAAATTACCCTCCTCCATCCCCAGCTTCTCCTTTCGCCACAGTCAGGACTTGGCTTTCTGATATTCCTTGCTAATCAGACTCCTTTATCTTGAATAAAGTGTTACACTTAAATATCATTAAGTACATTAATGATATCTGCCTTGTTCTGTTCTGTTAACCCTAGGGGGGTTATTATTGCTGCTGAGTTTTTTGCCCAGAACAGAACCATACCGCCAAACCAAATTTTATGCTAAGTATCTATCATTTTGACGATAGTGGTCCTGACAGAATATAGGTCGTAATTCAAAGGCAGTTTGCATATTCTCTTGTGATTGGGTGTCAGGTTGCTTCAGAAGTCTTAAAGGAATAGCTCACCCAAAAATACAACTTCTGTCATTATAAAACTGTGGAACAGATGAGGAGAATTATTTGAAGGATCTTCACACAGCTGTTTTCCATACTATTGACCACAATTGTTAACCTCAGAAAAACAATTACCATTCAAAATTTGGGGTCATTAAGATGTTAAGAAAAAAAAAATAAAATAATAAGGAAAGAAACTAAATAAAAAAATAGTATTTCTGTTCAGCAAGGATGCATTAAAACGATTAAAATGGATATTTTACATTTCTGCATATTAATTTAATTAAAGATAAATATTGTTATTTTGAACTTTCTATTGATCAAAGAATCCTGAAAAAAATGTATCATGGTTTCCACAAAAATGTTAAGCAGCACGACTGCTTAAGAAATATATGGAAGCTTATTTTCGCCACAGGATAAAATAAATAAATAAAAATTTAAAATAAAAAACTTTTATTTACTTTTACCTAAATTGCGACTTTTATTAAAAAAAAGTCTCAATTACCTTTTTTTTATTATTAAAAATGTTTTACTTTTTTTTTTTATTTAGCAGCAGAAAAGAAAAACAGAACTGCAATATGTAGAGTCAGAATTCTTACCCCAGACTTTTCCTGTTAAATTAATCAGTCATCATTAATTAGTTAACCAGAGTCTTATTATGCATTATTTTTCTTTATTTCCCCTCGCAGAGCCCAACAGTTACCGCACAATGGCTGCTCGATCAGTTAACAGCTCTCGTCTGGCTCAGGATTACTCTCTTCTGAGGACATTACTGCAGTCGGTGCGTTTCTACAGCCGAGCGAACCTCTACGGACCCAACATCGGCCGTCCTCGTAAAAATGCAATCCTGTTACTAGATGGGTGAGTGTCTCTGTTATTTGTTCAAAAATTATTAGGGCCTTCCTGTATGCACTTATTTATGTGTTTGACAGTATGTGGAGAGTGATAAATTATAAACCGATTCTGTTCCTGCAGAACTGTGCAGAAAACTTAATACATTTTCTGGATATTTTGATAATGCTGTCAGACATTTTGTACGGTCAACTATGTTTAACACATTTTATATATTTGTGAATATGAAAATTGTGAGTCCATTTTTGTTAGCTTTGAAGCCTTTAGCATGTATATGCATTTACAGTTTTACACACTTTCTCGTCTGGAAATATGGATAAGAATATAAACTACTTTTTAAAAGTTTACGGTTAGTTTTTTTTAAAGAAATTTCTTTTCATGGTTTTCATACAAGTATGCATTAAATTACTCAAAAGTGGCAGTAAAGACATTTATTATGTTACAAATATTTCTGTTCTTTTGAACTTTCTGTTCATCAAAGAATCCTAAAAAAAAGTATGTTTCCACAAAAATATTATGCAATTCAACTTTTTTCAGCATTGATAATAATAAATGTTTCTTGAGCAGCAAATCAGTATATTAAAATGATTTCTGAAGGATCAGGTGACATTGAAGACAGGAGTAATGATGCTGAAAATTCAGCTTTGCATGACATGAATAAATTTCATTTTAAAATAAATAAAAATAGAAAATGGTAACTAAATTATAATAATATTTAATAATATTACTGTTTTTACAGTAATGTTCTATTCAGAATGCAATATTCTATTTTTTATTAAATAAACATAGCCTTGGGGAACTTCAGAGATTTTTTTCTCAAAACTGAATCAACAAGAATGATGGGAGCACAAACACACACAGCTCCCAAAATCGGAAAAAAATAACAGGAATTTATTCATTCACTGCAGAAAGTCATTTTTGTAATCATTATTTAAATATATAAATGCCTTTGAAACAAGATAATTTTGCCTCTCAAGTAAACATTTGTAGGATACAATTTTGTTTTTGAGTAAATAAATGTTCTTATTGGCATTTATCTTGGATAGTTTTTTTTTTTGTTAGTAAGCAATTAGTAGGAGTTGTAGCAGTAGTAGTATATCATTTTTAATCTGTTTAAATATATTTAAAATATATTAATAATATTATAACAACAAGTTTGCATAAAGGGGTTATAATTATACTTATAATTATAAATATACTCTTATATTGAAATCAATCTACATGTACATAGATGACATAATTTTTACTCAGCAAGGAGTGAATAACGGTTCTTGGCTGTGATGTAACTAAAGGCTGTTGGTTATTTATTTATTTAAAAAAAGGACAGTTTAGTGATATTTATGCTGGTAATTTAAGCAGTTTAACTGTATGTAGATGAGCAGTGGTCTGATGTGACGACTACTAATGGAAGTCTCAAATATGTTTCTGAATGGCTGTGGTTGTCATATCATGTGACGTTTTGCACTTTCAATGTGGAAAGGTGTCATGACCGGTTATGGCATGGTGTTTGCAGATAGGCTTATCTGACGTTGGACTTGTTTTAATGGCTTGTAAAAGAGATCTCTGAAGCACATTGTTTAAGAAAGCGCAGTACTGTCCGCCTGCCTGGTGGAGCACATAGCTGAGTTGTGTTTACGTTGCTCCATGTGGATTGTTAGTCCAGGGGCCTGTAGCACCATTGAAACTCACCGTCAGATAAATAAAGTGTTACTCTATTAATGGCGTGACAGAGCAATGTTCCACCTGCATGTTACTCATTCCTCCCACTCTGTCCTGCAAGAGCACAGAGGCTTCAGTAATGCAGCTTTTAATTTTGAGCATTAAGTGCAACATAGTAAAAATTTTTGTTTCCAGCAAGACATTATAGAAGTAATAACTTGCAGTCGGTAAATCAAGAACCATTCGGATTGATTCAGTGAGTGAGTGAGTGAGTCTTTCTGAATGATTCATAGGAGTCATTTGTTTGTGAATTAAAATGGGGAAGAATAAGGACGTTCAAAAACTGCTAACAGAAATGAACATCAGCCGTTTCTAATTAACAACAAATGATTAATCAAAAACCTATGACCAAAGTCCCTTTAAATTTCCTTTCAAAAGGAGAATCTTGTCTTAATCATTCAGTGTGTGGTTTTAAAAGAAGGTTTGAGCAACACTGCCAGCCTTATGCTTCTAAACACATATATTTTTTTATGACAGGAGCTTATTAAAGCAGTGCCAGTGTTGTTGTGCTTAGTATTAAGACCACATTTTTCTTATTCTTGTCTTGTAATGACGTCTGAGATAAATACCTCTGGAATTCATTTGTGAGTGTTCATTTAACATTGTTTGTGCTTTTGTGCTGTTCTTCGAAAACCGGTTAAATAGAATAATGGCTTTTGTGAGTGGATACTAATTGGTTGTAATCCCAGTGTGACAGAGCCAGACATAAATCTGTCAGTGCCTGACCAGAGCTTCCTCATTCTTGCAACCAGCGGCTTACAGCAGGCCCTGTCTACACCTTCACCCACACACACACATTATAATTATACTTATAATTATAAATATACTCTTATATTGAAATCAATCTACATGTACATAAAATAATATAATAACATAATATTATTTTACATTATAACCATTATATAGACAGATGTGTGTTCATATCAAATGCACCATTTATTTATTTATTTTATTACATTTTAAAATATGAAAAATGACTGATTGCTCTGGAAGCTAAGGTAATTAAGATTTTATTTCTCGTAATTGTGATTTTTATTTTTTATTTTTTATTTTTTTTAGCTTTAGGCTTTAAAAAAGAAAAAACATTGACAAAATTGACTTGCATTTAGTTTGTGTGTTATTTAATTACTGACTGTTTACTTGTCTCCAGTAAGCTTGAGTTCTTTTTATTTGTATTAGTTAGGCTAGTATTGTATAGAATGCATAATTGTGAAATTTCAATGTCATTTACAAATGTTGCCATTCTAACAACTATATTGTGATCGTGAAATAAAATGACTCATATTGTGATATACTATTTTGGTCATATCACCAATCACTAGAAGCCTCAATATATTATGCAGTGTTGCTTTTCAAGTCAATTATATTTCAATAAGGAAATCCTGGGCAGGCCGAAAATTCTCAGCATTTGAGCTATCTGTCCATCTTGCTCTGTGTGATTTGTACTGTGCAGTTTAGGTGCATCCCTTTACTATCTGCCATAAGCTGCCTTGTGTTTTCCTGCAGGGGCTTTTGTGCAGTCATAACTTTGGCAGGCTGAAATGAAACTTGGTATTACAACCACAAATGCTTTGTCGAAGGTCTTCCTTAGAACGAGACGCCACCCCTTGCTGCTACCAGTCTCGTTCAGATGGAAATGATAAATGCAGTTTTAACTCAGAAGTCAGACAGAGGGAAAGAGAGGGAGACGAGAAGGGAATTATAGGACGGCATGGAGTTTTGGAGAGAAAAGTGTGGTCGTTGTTTTTCTGTGTGAATCTGCCGTCACATGAATAACTGTTTAGAAACTTTGCTCCCTATAAGGAGTTTTGTTCCCTCGTTTGATTAAGATTACTCAGCTCCCTGGTAAACTCCTCTCTGCACAAATTTACTCACAGCATGAGAGATCAGCGTCAGCGGCGAAATAAACAGACACCTAGCCATGTGTGTTTGGCTGTCAGTTCATCTGTGTAAACGTGATTTACGATGGCGGAGCAGAATAAAATTGCTGTTTTTCCAATGCTATAATAATAACCTTCCATACACTTTAACCATACTGATGAATAGTGATACTACTTTTTTTCCTCTCTGTCACAGGTTTATGAAAAACGGTGGTTCTGTGGTTGACGCAGTAACGTGGCAACAGTAGGTATTTTACCTTTTTTAAATTATAACCTTTTATTATTCCCTATTGTTTATGGAAACTTTGAGAACATCCTTCTAAAGACGTAATACAACATTGCTGTGGTATGAAACAAAACAGAATGCGAATACAAAAGTGTCAGTTGTACTCAAGTCGCAGGACTGTTCTGATACATCAGGGGAAAAACAATGCAAAAGTACAAATATTAAAAATGCAACAAGCCATATATTCGTGTTTGGTTTGGAGAGGAAAATAAATAGACCTAGTCACTTTTAAAAAAGGAAGTTACAATGCTGATTTTAGATTTAGAACATTATTAGCAAAATAGTTTTTCATAATTGGTCATTGTTGGACATTAATAGTTAAATTAATAAATTTCAGTGTTTGATTTTAAGTACAATTATCTATTTTAGTACTGCATTGTGTTGAGTTCATATCTTGTAGTTCTGGCTTTTTTTCTCACAATTCTGACTTCTTTTCTTAGAATTCTGAGATATAAACTCGCAATTGTGAGTTATAAAGTCCAATTCTGAGGGGAAAAAAATATATATATTTTCTTACAATTGCGATGTTGTGTGTTATGAAGTCAGAATTGCGAGATATAAATTGCAAGATTATGTATATTTTGCAATTCTGACTTTATTTCTCAGAATTGTGAGTTTATATCTCGCAGTTCTTATTTTAAAACATGCAGTTGCGACTTTATATGACACAGTTCTGAGAAAAAAGTCAAAATCGCAATTGTAAGAAAAAAAGTTAGAATTCTGAGATTTTGTAAGATTTTTTTTTTTTTTTTTTTCAGTGGCAAAAACAGGCTTCTATAGGTTTCGGTCCATCATTGTTGATGAAATTTTGATATTGTTCATTTCATAATTTGTTATGCACAATAGTTTTGTGATATTTTTGTTTTGTTGATTGGCAGTACAAAAAGTCTGTCGTTCTGCTCTGTTGTTCCCCACCTCCGCCTCAATTTCTAACACCTGTGAGGTGGAATAATGTGCTGGAAGGTAAATTTACACTCCCAGCAAACACATGCAGGCCTCTAATTTGAGCCATTTTTCCTAATCTGGTTAAGTAGCATAACAAGAAGTGTTGTAAAAGACGTCAACAGTTGCCTATGTTCAGTAATACTTCTAACTAGCAAAACAATTAACATTCCTTGCATTCTTTCAAGCGAAACATTTCTATTTTATAATTATTCATACCATGTTTCTGTTTACCACTGTAGTGCATTTGTATATATAAACATTAAAATGTGCTCTCTCTCTATATGTGTGTGTGTTTGTGTGTGTGTGTGTGTGTGTGTGTTTAAAAAGTTTAGGGTCAGTAAGATTGTTTTTATTATTATTATTATTATGTTTTTGAAAGACGTTTCTTGTGCTCACCAAAGCTGCAAAAAATACAAACGGCTGCTAAATAAATGAAAAATACAGTAAAGCGAAATAATCTGAAATATTTTTTTTAAATAAATAGATTTAAAATACAGTAAAACAGTAATATTGTGAAATATTATTACAATGTAGAATAACTTATTTCTATTTTGATATAATTTAAAATGAATTTTTAAGCAGCCATTACTCACATGATCCTTTAGAAATTATTTTTAATATGCTGATTTGTGTTCTTATTATTATCTTGTCTTGTGCGGCTGGGAAAAAAATATATATATTTTCTTACAATTGCGATGTTGTGTGTTATGAAGTCAGAATTGCGAGATATAAATTGCAAGATTATGTATATTTTGCAATTCTGACTTTATTTCTCAGAATTGTGAGTTTATATCTCGCAGTTCTTATTTTAAAACATGCAGTTGCGACTTTATATGACACAGTTCTGAGAAAAAAGTCAAAATCGCAATTGTAAGAAAAAAAGTTAGAATTCTGAGATTTTGTAAGATTTTTTTTTTTTTTTTATTCAGTGGCAAAAACAGGCTTCTATAGGTTTCGGTCCATCATTGTTGATGAAATTTTGATATTGTTCATTTCATAATTTGTTATGCACAATAGTTTTGTGATATTTTTGTTTTGTTGATTGGCAGTACAAAAAGTCTGTCGTTCTGCTCTGTTGTTCCCCACCTCCGCCTCAATTTCTAACACCTGTGAGGTGGAATAATGTGCTGGAAGGTAAATTTACACTCCCAGCAAACACATGCAGGCCTCTAATTTGAGCCATTTTTCCTAATCTGGTTAAGTAGCATAACAAGAAGTGTTGTAAAAGACGTCAACAGTTGCCTATGTTCAGTAATACTTCTAACTAGCAAAACAATTAACATTCCTTGCATTCTTTCAAGCGAAACATTTCTATTTTATAATTATTCATACCATGTTTCTGTTTACCACTGTAGTGCATTTGTATATATAAACATTAAAATGTGCTCTCTCTCTATATGTGTGTGTGTTTGTGTGTGTGTGTGTGTGTGTGTGTTTAAAAAGTTTAGGGTCAGTAAGATTGTTTTTATTATTATTATTATTATGTTTTTGAAAGACGTTTCTTGTGCTCACCAAAGCTGCAAAAAATACAAACGGCTGCTAAATAAATGAAAAATACAGTAAAGCGAAATAATCTGAAATATTTTTTTTAAATAAATAGATTTAAAATACAGTAAAACAGTAATATTGTGAAATATTATTACAATGTAGAATAACTTATTTCTATTTTGATATAATTTAAAATGAATTTTTAAGCAGCCATTACTCACATGATCCTTTAGAAATTATTTTTAATATGCTGATTTGTGTTCTTATTATTATCTTGTCTTGTGCGGCTTAATGTTTTTGTGGAAGCCGTGATACATTATTTATCAGGATTCTTGGATGAATTAAAGTTCAAAAGAACTGTGTTTATCTGAAATAGAAATCTTTTTGTAACATTATGAATATCTTCATTGCCACATTTTATTAATTTAATGCACCTGTGCTGAATAAAATTATTAATTAATAAAAAATTTAAAACTCACTTCCCCTGAAACATTTTAATGATAGTGTGTATAATATATACATACAGTATATAAATATGTATATGTACATAAATATAAATACTTCACATTTGCGCACAATATATGAGTAATATGGTAGGTTTACTAAGTGAGATCAGTTACGCTTCACCTGTGTGACAAAACGGTAAAGACTCTTTTCAGGGATTAGAGCAGCTGTTCTCCTAAGGCTAAAGGTATTCATCTCTAAATAACCACTTATTTCTAATCCCTCCATCCTATTAACTTCTAATGAAGGCGAGGTCTGTGTGTTTTCTACTTAGACCGTGAATTGAGCTGTTGTGTCTGTCCATCAGAGACTGAAATGGATTTGATTAGAAGTGTTTGTGGCGTTTAAGGAGTTTAAGGCTTTCTTTTAGTTTGCCGATGATTTTTATTTTGAACTTCATGTTTTATGTTGTTGTCATGTCTTTTTTCCCTAGCCCAAACCTGATTGTATCCAAGTGTGTCCTCATTAGTTCTAGAGTAGTTCTGCTGCCTTCATTAGTCAGATGTGGGGTTTTCTAACATTATTTCCCTGACTATAAAACCAGCCCATTCCCAGTGCTTGGAAAATGACGTGCATAGAAACAAAATTGCAATGCTACGGTTAGCTTTTGGCAGGTGTTCATTGTCAGCGCTGTGGTCTTCTGGCAACCACATTGTGGAGGATAAATGATGTGATGCAATGATTCCCCTATTTTTGTATGATTATCAGTCACCATTTGTTATGCACTTGGCTGGTTTGAACCAAACAGGTTTCGAATAATGCTGATTTACGCGTTGTATTTGCAAAAAAAAAATTAATGTTTAGCATTAACTATGTAGCCCTTCTTGGGTGGTGCCATGTTCATTCACTCACCTGCATTTCGGAAAAAAGAATTTGGGAACATGAATCAAGACCTTCAAAATAAAAGTCAACTAAGAGTAAAACGAACAATAATCAAAAGATTTCCAGATCCTTAAAATAGAGATGCGTGTTTTACATGGACAAATTGCACTTCTAAGTCTAGCTCTAACTTCCAGTTTGACGCATTAGACCAGAAAATGAGGTAATGCCAGATATCAGATCATTAATTTTAGGAAAGGAAGTTGTTATCGGAGTTAACAGTGAACTATGTGTGTACTTCTGTGGAACTTCCCCAAGTTTATTTTCACTGATTATGGCAGATACAGCTCTGGATGTTGCATGAATTTTTTTTTTTTTTTGTCTGAAAATCTGGATAGCTGGATGTTTGGCTGGCTCTGATAGCTCGGTGTCAGTGTGTGAGAGATTTTTGGGCCAGTTGTTTAAACTGTTGCTTGCCCATTTTTCTGTGAAGCACTGGATGTTGAAACTGAATGATATTAATTTAAATATGTTTTCAAGGAAGAAGTTATCTAGTTGGCTGAGAGAGATAAAGTTTTGCCTGAATTGTGAATGATTTGGAATAGTCAACAAAAGCTAGAATGGCTTCAAAATGATAAATAAGCAATCTGGGATAAAGTGTGTTTTATGAACGTATAGCTGTCACTTTGTTTAACTATTTTGCTAATTAAATACTTAATTTGTTGTAACTTTTTGTAAAGACATTTTTCATTTAGTAAGTTAAAGTTACAACAAATAATTTAAGTATTTTTTTAAGAAAATCGGATGTAATCGGATGCTATATGCATGACTCCTAAGCGATTGAGGTGTTCTGTTGTTGGATGTAATAATGAACATAGCAGTCGTCATTTACTCCCGACATCTGAGCCGCTGAAGACGCAGTGGATTACGTTTGTTTTTGAAGGGAATGCGCCTCCCGATCTACATAAATGCGTCTATGTTTGCGCGAATCATTCGTGATCCAGCTTCACCCACAGAAGAAGTGAGTGTAAGGTTTTTTAATGAATCTTTGCAAATCACCTTTCCTAATAATGTGCTAATTAGCAAGTTTCAGGATGAATGCGGCTAAAGTAAACAGTCCCTCAGAGAGTGGCTCGGAAGAGAGGGGCGGGGTCAGCAGAGCTCATTAACATTTAAAGGAAAATGCTACAAAACTGTGTGCTCTGAAAAGAGTTGTTTTTGACAGGGTAAAAAAAGGTGTTGTTTTACACTACCATTGAGAAATTTTAACCAAACTATGTTACAGACTTTTCATTAAGACCCTAAAGAATCGTATCAACTTGTGGAAAATGGGCATCCAATGACCCCTTTAAATGTTACATTTTCTTTACAAAAGTAAACAAACAAAATTACTTGTGTATTTTTTTTTTTTTACAAAATTGCAGACAAAAGTAAAGATTTTAATTTATCTTTCTATTTTAATTTTGCTTTAGTTTAATTGTTTCTATTTAATTTTAAATTTTTTTATTTTAATATTAAACACTTTAATTAGCAATAATGGGGGCCATTTTAACATTAAGAAACATTAAGAAAATGTCATCTATTTTTTTTAATTAAATGATACACTTTTGTGTGCAGTTTTGTAAAGAAAATTACTTAAATTACTTACGTAAATAAAAATTATTTTAATTTAACTTTTATGTATTTATTTATTTGTTTGTTTTTGCTATTTTTTTGTGCTCGGACCCAAATCTGAACTACTGGCCTGATTGGGCCATCAAAATAATAATAATAATAATAATAAACTATTGTTGAGCCCTAAAAAAGCTTGTCTGGACATGAGATACTGTTGTGTGCTTTATTGCCGAGTCTGACCCGAGCAGTCTCTGCTGACTGCTGCAGAGAGACAAGGCAAGTTCCAGGTCAGCTAGAGTTTTTCCTGTGTGATATCATGAGAAATCACAGATGCTGTGTTCAGAGAGCTTCGGCGAAATATGCAAGGCTACTTTTTTACATCTCGTTCTTGTTGAGTTTTCCTTCAGATGGGCTGTCGCTTTATAACCTCTCACTCAGAAATTGCTTGACTTGCTCAACACTGCGTTGCAATATGGCGAACCTTAATAATCAGAAACGAGCTCATTAGCGGCTTTCTTTTATCTCCCAGCACAATGGCGGCTGGATGTGCTTTCAATGACTTTAATTAGATCCATGCAGAGTGGCTTTGAATTATTCACTAATGAGAAGTGTTTTATCAAGTGCATGCAATAGCTGCGGTCATTAAAAGTTATAAGGGCATAAACAAGTTTGCAATTCTCCCTCAATTAGAAGGCCCCCTGCGTCTGCAGAGAGAGGGTGGCCTAAACAGACTCATTAATCTAGAGGTCAACCCTGATTAAAGGAAACGGAAGTGGGAAAGGGTGTCAGAGAGGAGGATTTCATAAAAGCACCTACTCAGTCAAACTCAAGCCATATGCGCTCACACGTTCTGATGCGCAATTATCATTTTAGAGTAAAGGAAGATTCCAGGAATAAGAGCCCTCACAAGTTATTTAAGCAGCTCTTGTGGCTCTTTTACACTGTAAAAAAAAACATTTTTTTCAAAGTTGTAAATAAAGATTATTGAAGTGTAAATACAACTGAAGTCATTCCACTTAAAAATGCACTTTTAGATTAATGTGTTACCTGCTGTTTCTTTGTTAATTGTGATGTAATTAATTGTGTAATTAATTAATTGTGTCTTTCTACACCATTTAATATTTAAAATATTTTATAATTAAAAAAAAAAAATTTATATATATTTTTAATCTTAATGTAAATTATTCCTGTGATGGCAAAGCTAAATTTTCAGCAGTCATTGCTTTGTCTTTGTCTTCAGAGTCACATGATCCTCCAGAAATCATTCTAATATACTGATTTGATTAACACTTTTTATTATTCTCTGTGTTGAAAATATTATAACCTTTATATTTTTTTATACTATTACAGAATGATGAAATTTGTTATAAGGAATTTTAGAGGAAGCGTCTGAAACAAAGTTAATATAACATAAGAATTCAGTTAAGTGTCCTGTGCTATGAAAGAAAAGCCTCTGAGTAACAAAACCTTCATCTAATTTATTCGTTATCTCTTACATTAGGGTTCTCTGTCTTCCATGAAACAGATGCGCATTTCTTTCACTCCTCCTCCAGACGTTTCTTCTGTTTTGAATGCTAAATTCAGAAGTCAGTTGTTGAGAATGTACCTTACAAGCAGAATCTAAAACACCTTGGAAGACACGTTAGCTAAATATAATGTTAGGGAGGTTGAGAGTTGCTCATTGCTGTTTGAGGTCTAAAGATAATGAAGATTTGTTGCCTCAAGAGTTGTGCAGCTTTAATCCCATAGAGGCTATACATTTTGAGGGTCAGTGTCCACAGAGAACCACTTTTCCTTCAGATACGTCAAGATCTTCAGACATATTGCTTGAAAATGGTGCAGTTCATTGAGGCCCTCTTTTCACACCCTCCTCCAGATGGCCAGCCAACAGCTACTTCATCCCAAACTCCTCTCTCTCTCTCTCTCTCTCTCTCTCTCTCACACACTCGCTCACTCATTCACTCGCTCACTGCAGCGGCTCTTTGACCAGAAAGAGCTCTGTCTCTTGTCACCGCTGTCTGCTTTTACATCTTAATATAATTCATGGGCTTAATCTGTTAGTTATTTTGTGTATAAACCTGCAGACTGGCCTTTTAATGCCTTTAATTTATATTTTGAACTTTGCTCAATGAAGTGGGAAAATGTGGATTGTGTTATTTCATATTGTACTGGTAACATTAAGATTGATAGCGTTGTCATTTTTGTATTATTTGATGTTATTCCAGTAACACTGTAGTATCATCATATTACAGTATAGTCTGTGTAGCTTGAGAAAAGAAAATCAGTTTATACATATAATGTGCACACACATATTTAATAAACAAAAATATATCTAATTATTTCATTATTTATATATTGTCTTATTTATATATTATATTATTATAAATATTATTTTCATTATATATATTATATTTATATATATACACACACACACACTGTATATAAAACATATATATCAACTTATATATATATATTATATATATAATCGAATAGCTGCTACGAAAATGTTCTCTGTTTTATATAAAATACAACAACATTTATATATTATATAATACATATTGTAAAGAATCTAGCTTAATATGTTTTTTTAAAGAAATTAATACTTGTATTCATCAAGAAATTTTAATATTTCATTAAATCATATTCCAATGAAACAAAAACTGCTTTAAATTGTAATAGTATTGAACAAAATTTCTGTTTTTACTATTTTTGATCAAATAAATACAGCCTCGCTGTGAGAAGTGCTGCAAGCAGAGTGATACAAACGGTTAAATGGTTGGAGTTCTGTTATCAACTAGAATATCGCACCGCTGGAAAAGGCTCTCAGCCCATCAGATTTGAGGACCAGAAAGAAATGTTGCATACATTAATATACATCTATTTTTAATTCAATTGAATAAATAATATTTCATAACTCTTACAGTGATGTTCTCTCATGTGTGCAGTTACTACATTGACAGGCGGGTGACCAAAGTGGAAGACTTCTTGAAGACAAGGCTTCTGGACACCCTGTCTGAGCAGATTACCAAGGTGTTAAAGGTAAGGTGTTTTTTTAAAGACACCCAGCCTAATATCTTTTTGTTTTTGAATGTGTAGGTCCGAGATGTGCTAATATGTGTTAAGGTTGTTGTTGTGAGAGTGAGCAAGTCCCTCCAGTGCTCATTAACTGTGTTTACCTCAAGGACCCCGGGTTTGTCCTCAGCTGCACCATCCAAACAAGCTGTCGCTGGTCTGATAGGTGGCCTACCGTTAAGGGAGCGTGGGTCAGGGCACAGTAAAGGAGGAAAGCGTTTGATTGGGTTTACAATTTACAAGTTCCCCCCTCAGCCTTATGATGTCTCAGCTGCTCTGGGAACAGTCCCCTTTTGGTCTAATAAGCAGTGCAGGTTTCACAACATTTATGGCTTCCCTCAGGAGGCCCAATCTATAAATACACTGCTCTCCTGTTTTATCTATCTCAAACTCACACATCTGGTCCAGTGTTCCCCTGAAAGTGAACGAGGGGGAAAACTGGCCTTCCTCACAAATATCAAACAAAAGATGCCAAAGTTTTGTTCACTCCCAAACCCAGTGGGACGGTGATTAGAGCCTATTACATGTGTGAAGTGCTAACTCCACTTCTAAGCTTCAAATCCAAAGGTCATTTAACATAAAATCAGTAATAAAAGTCTAAATTCACATCTTTTTTTTCTGGAGTAGATCTGCAGGTGTTTTTCGATGGTTTGGCGACACATACCCTTCCCGCAGTCTGTGACAGTTTACAGATCTATTTTGAGAGGCAATTTATGCTTTAGCATTGATTCTCTGGCTGTCATTGTCTACAGCAGGTCCTGAGGTTCATAGTGTGTCTGAATCAGAAGTGGAGAGTATGAGAGGTTTCTTTGGCTTATTATGGAATATGCCTTAATACCCAACATGTGTTCTATTATAACCAGACTCTGACCTTGCAGCTGGACGGCAGTCGGTTGTGTATTGTGCTGCAGAGTTGGGATCTCATCTCAAATCATGCCCACGGACTATTCATGGACAGTCTGATTTATATTGAGCACAAAAACAGGAGTCAGGATGCAGATTTTTATAAGTCAGCTGCATGGGAAAAAATATGTTTTTGGTACCTGGCTTTTAAAAGAGAACCAACATTCGTTATTAATTTTCAATAGTATATATATATTTATTAATAAATGTAATTATTTGTTCATTATTTTTAGCTACACTACCATTCAAAACAATGGGGTAAGTATTTTTGAAACAGGTCTTTTATTCTGGCCGAGGCTGAATTTATTTGATCAGAAATACTATAAAAACAGTCATATTGTGAAATGTTATTGCAATTTAAAATAACCGTTTTATGTTTTCATATATTTTAAAATATAATGAATTCCTGTAATGGCAAAGCAGCCATTACTCCAGTGTTCAATGTCACATGATACTTCAGAAATCATTCTGATATGCTGATATGCTGCTCAAGAAACATTTCCTATGATTAGCTGTTGAAAACAGTTGTGCTGCTTAATATTTTTGTGGAAACTGTGATAGTTTTTTTTTTTTCAAGATTCTTTGATCAATTCAAAGCAGCATTTATTTGAAATGGAAATCTTTTGTAGCATAATAAATGTATTTGCTGTCACTTTTGATCAATTTAATGAATCCTTGATGAATAAAAGTATGAATTTCTTTCGAAAAACAGTACTGTATTTTGGATTTTACATTCACCAGCCTAAAACAAACAAACAGGTTGGTCACTGTAAAATCAGTCAGATGGTCTCATCTTGTTTAAGTGGACCAGACTAGCCAAAAGTCTTGAATATGCAAGAATAAAACGTGCACAACTGTCCATTACTCAGTTATGGATGGTGTGTTTCATCTGATAAAGCTTTTTCTTTGTTTTCTTTCAGATTGTTCAAACTCATGCTCCAGAGAAGCGTGTGTGGCTGGGTGGAGTTGGTCCGGCTTGGGCAGGGGGAACCAATAATTTATCTGATACATTTGCTGCTGGTTTTCTGTAAGTGAAGTATCTTCATAGGGGCTGCAATTAACTATTTTGATGATCAGTTTGTTTATATCTCTGATTAATCATTGTGATCTACACTCTGTCAGTACAGCATATCAGATTACTTCCTCATGTAATGTTCTTTATTATTCTTCAGTAATTTGCCATAATCTCTCCATATAAAAAATATCATCACTTGCATTACATATAGGATTTCAACTAATTATGATTGAGCTTACCTAAATGTTTATGTCTAAAAATAAAAAAGCATGATCTGTAACAGTCTGCAAAGCATTAATTGTTCAGTTGCTGTTAAGATGAGATGTTTTACAGAAATATTTGCAATATACTATATGTGACCCTGGACCACAAAACCAGTCATAAGGGTCAATTTTTCGAAATTGAGATTTACACCTATAATATACTATATAACAGTGAACGTAAGTTGTGACATGTTGAAAAACACCTCTCAACCACATTGAGCATTACAATTTATGTCAGAGCACTTATTCAGGCCACATGAAGCTCAGCCCAACCCACTTATATATTTGAATGGCCTTCTTTGAATAGTTTAATACAAAGTGCTCATTTGCCTTGAACAACCTGTATTATACACTTGATTTCCACTACACCTCAAGGCTGTGTTTTTCAAATGTGTTTCTTTTTCCAGTAGAAATGGCTTTTTAAATACTGAAATACTGGTGACATAACTGATTAAAGTTGTCTGTGGAAAAATGCAAAAACCTGACAAATTGTTAAATTCTGTTGCATTCTTAATGTTCTCAATTTTTTTTGCTCGCTTCAGGTGGCTCAACACTCTTGGTATAGCTGCAGCTCATGGGATTGATGTTGTACTCCGACATTCTTTTTTTGATTATGGATATAACCACCTCGTCGACCAGCACTTCAACCCTTTACCTGTAAGTTTAAGCACGTAAACAGAACCCAAATCAAAAGCAGTCAAAGCTGTTTAACACTCAGACATTACCTGCAGACGGATTCAAGTCATATACCACACGCACTAAAGGTTACGCAAATTAACACCATACGCAGTTATCTGTGTGGTATGCTCGTTACCGTATTGTAAAACCACCTAAAACGCATACGTAAAAATGACCTGGGTGTAGTTTTTTCCGACATGAAGTGTTTGGAAATGGTCTTAGACAGAGTTGGTCTTTAGCATGTGGCTCAGGCACCTTATGGCTTTTCCCGTGGGACCTATTAGCCAAGATGAAAGGTGTTTTGTGGTGTTGAATACTGGGCAACTGAGGCGAACTGCACTGAAATTCGAGCCCGAGACAATGTCACCTGTCTCCCAACCCCTCTACGTGTGTGCCCCACTGTGTGGAACAGCCAGATGCTGACAGCACTGCAACCTGAGCCGAGGACACTCCACAGGTATCCCCACCCTCCAGACCGCTGCCAACTTCATCCTGAATTATGTAAACCTCACTCTTTCATAGTGTCCGCAGGTCAGCCCCCTGGAGACAGGACAGACAGAAGACTTCAGTTAAATTTCAATTTGATTTGAGAACCCGTATAAAAGACCATGACTAAACAAAACTTTTACCCATATGTTCTGTGGGTGTTTTCATAGCTCAGACACATGGTACATCATGATTCTTATTAGTACATGTACAACATTTTCTTATTGGTTTTGCAGATTTTATTTATTTATTTATTTATTTTTACAAACTCTTTACAGTACTTCTGCCAGCTGCTTTGATTTTTTTTTATTTTTAACAATTATTTAAATATATTTAATGTATTCGTAAATGTAGATTTTCACCATCAATTATGTATATATATATATATATATATATATATATATATGTGTGTGTGTGTGTGTGTGTGTCTAGCCACCACTAACAGATTTTTGCTACAGCATTTTGCATTTTTGTTTAAATTATTAATTAAATAATTAATTATTATAAAATATACATATTTTAAATATAACATTTTATAAAACTATAAAAACATGTTTTATGTTACATTATATTTTGTTTGTCATATGAGCATATTAAAAGAATTTAGGGGAAAATTAATAAATTTATTTCATTTAATATTATTTTCTTCACTGGGACCCCAAACATTAAGAATGTATAGTCCATCTCAACAGAACATCAAATGGAAATTAACACTAATAGAAATGTGTTACTATAAATCAAATCTAAGTAAGAACTTTAACTTTTTTTGGCCAGGATCCTTCTTTTACAGTATTTTCATATAGATAAAAAATAAACAGCTTTAATCTACTTTAACTTCTACTTCCTACACGCAATCCTCACTGACTCCAGATGCTGATAGATACATTATCTGCTCGTGGCCCTCTGTTCTTTTACAGCCCACCAGCAGTGGAGATCCAGACCTGTTGACCGGCTCAGGATAACATATGTTCCTGTGCAAGTAATAAAACCAAAGGAAGACATAAAGAGCAAAAATACAGCAATGGTAGAAATTCTTGATTATGCAACGCTCCATCAAAGGTGAATCTGGATTTTTCAGAATCTCAACAGGAGCACTGTTCTTCTAGCACAAGCCAGAATGAGCATCTTTCAATAAAATGCTCTTTCGTCAAGCACTCCTCACAACTTTTGAAACGGTCATCTTTTTCCCCCCTGCTTCTAGTTCAACATCTCTAGTTATTCCAAGGACCAATCGCCCCCTGCTGGGATCGCAATGCTTTAAACATAGCTGGATGTCTGTGGGAACTGCCAGAAGCCCCACTGTGAGAATTCGCAACAGCCGCAACCTGTCGGCCTGTGTGGAAAATTTACGGTCCAACCATTTCTCTTTAATCCCTTACTGAGTCATGTCTCCGTTTCTTTCCCTTCACACCTCAGCAGATGATCTCATCCCCTCTTTTTGCTTTGCTTCTTTTTTTTTTTACCCCTTATCTCTTGCTGTTTCTTGTGTTTTCACCCTTGATTGGATGCTAATCAAAACCAGGAGATTTCACAAGTGCACTAATAATGTATTCTGTCATTAATTCCTATATAATTATACATCCACCCCTTTAGAATATTAAGGTGATATATGTAATTCTTTTGATGTTAACATAGTTTCTCAATCCAAGTTCAGAGGCAATTATAAGTCTCGATTTTTCTTGCTCATATTGAATATTTTCAATAATCTGCATATTTAGTTATTTACAATATTACACCTCTCTTTAGTAATCTGCATAATAATATTATTAACAATATTAATTTTTTATTGTATTTCATGTTTTTTTATTTTATGTTTTTATTGTGTTTTATGTTTTTTATGTATGTTATGTCATAGTAGACTTTAATTATCTGCAGAGTAATATTAATTATTATCGATATTACAAATATTTATTTCGATATTTATTTATAGTTTTTCATCTGCTGGTGAAAGACAGTACACCTCTCTTTAATAATCTGCACAATATTATTTTTATTAATATTAATAACAGTATTATTCTTTTATCCTATTTTTTATTTTCTGCCGCGTGAAAGTAAAAATAATCTAATTATATAATCAATAATCTCTACATTGATTTTATTTCTTTATTTATTGTTTTTCATCTGCTGGCTGAAGGCAGTAGTGCACCTCTCTTCAATAATGTGCACAATAATATTATTATTAATAATTAATATCAGTATGAATTATTCTTAAATCATTCAGATTATTAAAGATGTGCTAGTGCCCTATATCTCACATCAGAATAACAGAGAAACTTGGAAGTGGGCTTTGAATCGGGCTAAAAGTCAAACGCATAGCAACCACCCAAAACTCCCTAGCAACCACTTAGAACACCCTCTGTGCCCAACAGCAACATGCCCAGCAATATTTTAACACCACAATATCATAGAGGCATGTTGGTGGGCTTGATTTGGGGTCATGGCAAAATCCAGCTTCCTGGCAGAAAGTTATACGCTGGCAAGAACCACTCACATTTTTTTCAGAAAATCTACCCATATAGTCATTTTTGCAATTCCGTTTAGTGTCTGTGGTTAGTGTTTTGCGAAAATTACATGCTTCACCTTTAAATATTATTAAAATTGTAGGTTCTTATTGCTCCCAGTTGTTTATTATGTGGTCAGAATTGATTCGTTTTTGTTGCACACTCTCACGTTAAGTTAATATGTGTCTCTCTGGCATTACAGGACATGACATTTGCTTATATCCTGTTGGTATTATAGAAAAGTAGTTGGTCATATCCTTTAATCTCGCAGACCTTTAGCGGTTTGACTTTTAATTTATTAATTATTAAAGTGGTTTCTATTTTATTCAGTCATTATAGCTTCTGCGCTTACTGAGCTTTACTGGGTGGGCTGAGAAATGCTTTCTAAAGCGAAATACTGGTATTATCTGCCAGTACACGTACAAGAAGTGACCTGAAGGTTGCTGAGGTTAGCACTCTTGAGCTTTATTGTCATTTTTATGTTGATTTTTATGTTTTTATGTTGATTGTTGCTACCTAGTGCACATCTGCATACCATTTTCATAGACTAAAAATATGGGTAACATTTTCCATGGACCCCTATGCAGTTCAGTGTAAACCAGTATGAAAACCTCTAATCTAGGCTCTTGTTCTAGATTGTGCTCAGGCAGTTATTTTTTCTATAGCCCTAAGATGTTGACATTTACATTTAAAATATTTTTTGAAATCGAATTGCTATTAAACAGAAAATGTGATTATTTTATAGACAATACCGAAGTTTCACTGCATCATAACACATTGCAATTCTTGACGTTTTTAAAACAATGTTTTTTTGTCAAATTGTAGTTTAAAGAGACCCATCCATTCCCAAATCTCTTTTTTCCCACTGCCTATAGCAGATGCTGCACAATGTACACTGCCGGAGCAAATTAAGTTAAAGTTTCCCTGGAAAAGAAGCCTTTAAATGCTGCCATATGCAGGATTGCATGGGAACTTCCTGATGCACACATGCTGCTTTGAACCAGTTCAATTAGGTATTGAATTTGAGAACTGATGAGAGGTATTAGGAGAGATCTATTACAGTCATGCATGTGAAATTCAGGTAGCAATAAAAATGCATGTAATGATGTAGAAATCAGTTCTCTGGTTACACTAGGCCAGTTAATGTACAGTTAATGTCCAGTCTAAAATCTTCTTTGTGCAATGAATGTGATGGGATTACTGGATCATTAAATGCTAATAGTATGACTTTTGGACCATAAAATGTAGCAGGATAATATTTTGCATGCACAGTACACAAACATACACACATTCTTTTGTGTTTGGCTTGTGGGTAAAACATTTAGTTCCTTTAATAATATCAATAAATACTGGTTGACAGAGAATTCATGCAAAATTTAAAGCAGGTTTTCTAGGAACCACATTTTTCAAAGGTACATTTAGCATATGCATCTTTTTCAGTTTTGTTTTTTCTGTAAGAGCATGACTGAAAATTTGCTTTGTTCCCCCTGATGGCAGAAAGCAAAAAATATAGTGTGTATCTCTCAATTCTATGAGCCATTTCATTCTTTTTTGCTTTGTTGTTTCTCAGTTTTAGCAAGAAAAGCTTCCAAAGAAAGACTATATGCTTCTATCTCTCCATTCAGAGCATCCAAGAAAATGTCACTTTCAATAAAAGACTGAAGCACATGTGCATTTTTTTATATCTCAAAAAAAAAAAAAAGAGGAGTCGTTCTTACTAAAGTGAAGGCAGATATAAGAAACGTACATTTTTTTTTCTTGTGCTTTTCAAATGTAGTTTTCTACATCTTTCTCTTTCCCAATTCCAAAATTAAAACTCCTTTGAAAGATGGAAGGATGCTGGAATTCATTGGATTTCTGCTGGCGGAGAAATGCCACATCTGTCCAGTGTATTTAAACCAGAATCATCTTGTATGAATCATGTTTCTTGTGCAGAGGTGCACTATGCTAACACGACTCCATGGAAGAATAACTTGACCTAACACGCGTGTTGACATGGCAGAGCTCCAGTAAAAATGACTCAGTGATGCTTTTTATTTTGTAACGTGTTTTGTGTGTTGGTATTGTAGGATTACTGGTTATCTCTGCTCTTTAAACGTCTGGTGGGCCCCAGGGTGCTTGCGGTGCACGTCGCAGGTCTCCAGAGGAAACCACGCCCTGGACGGGTGATCCGGGACAAACTCCGCATCTATGCACACTGCACCAGCTTTCACAAGTAGGTTCATTAGACTGTCTGATGTAAGATCAGTTCATACAAATATATCAATACTGTTCCAAAACCGAGTAAGCTGCCTTGATATCTTGATATAAAAAGAAAAAAAAGATTTTAGGGCTGTCAAAATTAACTGATTATGTAAGATTAATTGCAGTTGTTTTATTAAAAATAATATTTAAACACTATTGTTCAAAGGTTTAGGGTTGAAAATATTTTGAAAATGTTTTTTGAAAACGTGATCAAAAATAAATAAGTAAAAACATTTGTTTAAATTAGATTTTAAAATGTAATTTATTCCTATGAATATAAAAATCTGCTGTAAAGCAGATTTGAAAAAAGTATTTTATGCTCACCCAGGCTACATTTATTTGATCTAAATACAAAAACAGTGATATTGTTGCATATTAAATATTATTACAATTTTAAATAACTAATATATTTTCAAATGTAATGTATTCCTGTGATGGCAAAGCTGAACTTTCAGTCTTCAGTGTCACATGATCCTTCAGAAATCATTCTAATATGCTGATTTGGTGCTCAAGAAACATTTAGTATTATTGTTGTTGTTGAAAACGGTTGTGCTGCATAATATTTTTGTAAAAAACTGAATCTTTTTGGCTCCCAATTTAAATATGGCCCGGACTACGTTTAATACGGCTTCACTTCAAATAGAGATAAACATGTTTTATTTACAACCGCAGTGTTTTATGTGGTGGAATAATGGATGCAGAGAGCATGAAACCACTGTAATTCAATATTGTGCATTCAACAATTTTGGTGCTGTGTTTGGTTGCCACTTGCCACTCCAGAACCAATTTCTTAGAAGTCAGTGAAATGTTGATGTTGACTTGATGTCAGGAACGCACGTGTGATGCCTTAAAATGCTGTGTAGGTAGGCTGCTTGTTAGATTTTGGAACAGAACTTATACAGCAAATGCATCACCATAACAAGATTGTATGTGTGTAAATTGTCTTTTTTTGACCTGTAGCATTATCTCCACACAGACACCCGTCATCTGAGTACATAGCCGTAGTGGAGGATTTTAAGGCTTACCTGCTCATTCTCGAACCCATAAATTACAGAGTCCAGACAGCCTCTCTTTCAGAGTGAGAGCCCATAAAATTTAACAAGTATCAATTGTCAAGTGTGTGGAGTCTCTTTCTACAGTGTGAGAGGCGCTGAAAGACACCAGAGGCTCAGGCAGGTGAAGGGGAGTAGAGCTGCGGGACAATAGAAAGGTCTGTACCCAGGCCAGATAAAAAGTGCCATCATTCCCTTTGATGATTATCTATTACCCCAGAATGATGTGAGCGGGACCTGCCAGCTTTTCAGCAGCAGTGTAGGTTTACGGTCTACAGATCCCCGTGTCTCAGCTCAGTTACAGCTCTGTGTCAGTGCTACCACAGGCCTCTGGCTTCAGGATTCCTGCAGGACAGACGTTTTTGCTGAAACATACAGAAAACAGTGTTGGGGAAGCTACTTTGAAATATGCTACTTGTAATGTGAAGTACAGTCAACAAAAACATGAAAGCTTTATAATGGTAGTATATCTTTTTTAAATGCACTACCATTCAAAAGTTTGGCGTCAGAAAGATGTTTTTTGAAAGAAGTTTCTTTCCCTGTGGGTCACCAAGGCAGCATTTATTTGGGGGGGGAAAACGGTGAAACAGCAGTATTGAAGAATGTTATTGCAATTTAAATGAACTGTTTTCTATTTTATTATTTTTAAATGTAATTGATGTAATTACTTAAATATTTGTTATTATCAATGTTGAAAACAGTTGCATTACTTTTTCTTTTCTTTTTTGTGAAAACGATACTTTTTTTCCCAGGAACTTTTGATGAATACAAAGTTCAAAAGAACAGCATTTATTTGAAATAGAACATGAAAATGTCTTTATTGTCACATTTCATCAGTTTAACTGAATAAAAATAATAATTTAAAACGCCACTCTCTCTTGAACGCGCATCATGAAAATGTCTTTATTGTCACATTTCATCAGTTTAACTCAATAAAAATAATAATTTAAAACGCCACTCTCTCTTGAACGCGCATAAGACAGTCAGCGGAAGCTAGAGATTAAGGTTTATAAAGTTGTAAATATGGATATTTTTCTTACACAAACGCATCGCTTCGCTTCAGAAAGCATTTATTCACCCTCAGAGCTGTGTGGACTTCTTTTATAATGGAAGGGTGCAATTTTTTGGACTTCAAATTTTGGGCTACCATCCACTCCCATTATAAAGCATGGATTAGCCTGGACATTATTTAATATAACTCCGATTGGATTCGTCTGAAAGAAGAATGTCATATACACCTAGGATGGCTTGAGTGTGAGTAAATCATGGGGTAATTTTCATTTTTAGGTGAACTATCCCTTTAAAAATAAATCTTTCTGACCCCAAACTTTTGAATTGTAATGTATTTAACACATATATTATCATTTTTATTTATAATGAGAGCAGTATTTATGGCAATAACTGTGAGGATCTAAATGTAGATGACAACATTAAACTGAAGAGATAAATTTGTTAAAAACGAGTAGTAGAACTAGAAATGTCATAATTTGTATTATGAATTGAGTCAAAAGCTATAGTAGCATTTGCATATTTTGATTAATAAAAGACAACATAAGAAGCTTGAGTGAATTTCTTGAAAAAAAATAATTATTAAATCACTAGAATGAATCACTAAAATTAATCAGTCTACCAAAAGCTACTTAAGTGAGAGACTTCTTTTGCTTCCCAGTGAGTGACTTAGGCATTGTAAGGCATTGCTCCCAAACACTGCAGTTTAGGTATTGGTTTGTAATTGCATGATTAGGTCATTTAAAGCTCTGACATCAAATATGTATTAATAGCATCTTTAAAAATGCACTTGAATGTTCTTCTTTTAATATCTTATTCTTTAGTTGAGAGAGTTTCAGGCTTTTAGGTCTGCAACCAGGAGATATTTGAAAGTAGACTGATGTTATCTGGTTACAAAACTCAGCCAATTTCTGACCCTGGTTGGTGTACAGATGACAGAGTTTTGGGCTGCGTTCAAAATCTCATCACATTGTGTCTTATCCATCAAACCGAAACCACCACAAACCGAACAAGTAATCTCTGTAAATGCCATGAAACCCAAAACAGCTGGTCTGCAGCTAATCCTACTCACTAAATGCTTTGCTTTTGCTTTGCCTGTCCAGTGGCAAGGTGACGTTGACTGTTTATTGATAACTGACAGGCGATTTTATTTAAATGAAAATGTTTTTTATTGAAATGACACTCTTAAATGTCAACAATGATAATATTTAATTCCCAGAATTTCCTCTATGTCAGTGGAAAAGCGAACAATGTTACAAAGACAGCAACCGTTTGCAGACATTCGGGTCTCATTCCTCCAGCCTCTTTCAAGTTTTTCGTTCTATTAGTGGTTAAAATGGCCGGTCAGACAAGTCATGGATATGCTTTCAGTATCTTCACTAATCCATCACAACACCCTTATACAAAACAGGCCTCCTTTTCGGTGCTTTGAGTGCTTTCTCCAGTCCACATTTCCCCAGGACCATTTGCTGACATCAAACAAAGGATTCCATGTTTACGTTCCCCATGCGAATGCTGGAGAGGCACATTGTTTCAAAGTCTTGGACAGTGTTTATCATTTTTCGATCTGTTCGTCTGATCTAATGCACCCTTCTGGAAAATATCTTTCCCAAGTTACCAAAGTCTATTAAAACTGAGACACCACACATGTATCACATGACATGAGAGATGTTTTCATTACACAGTCTCGGGTTTGTCTCGTTCCTGAATTTTTTCCCTTGAATTCTATTCACTGTGCGCCAAGGTGTAAAGATGCACATGGCCCGGGTTGCTCGTGATTGGTGAGATTACTAACAGGCTTGCCTGACAAAAGCCAAGCTCTGACCGGTGCAGTTGGGCCTTTTCAACATGTGGTATTCATGCACTGCAGCTATGTTTTCCTTGCCTTTACGTTAGAATCCTTATTGAATTTTATCATGTTTGCCTAATCATGTTGCCAGATACTTATCTTCAGTTAATATTCCCTTAAGCTTACTCTTCGGCGGTATTACCCTCAAAACAAGGACCAGTGGAGTCACTGTAACATAAGCACAATCGTCCAACACATATAAAGCTTTTGTTACCCCAGTGAATTTGGGAGGGGAGCTAATGCTTTTACAGTTGTTATATGAAAACAATCAGCTCTTTTACATGACGTAGTCCTGGGTACTTGTAGTCCTGGGGACAGTACTATATAATTTGGTTTTTGTGTACTGAAATTAAATCACATGAGGGTTTGGACCTTATAACACATTGTCTCTTGTAAATGGAATTCTGGGAACAGACTCAATGTTTCTGTCAGTATTGCAGTATGTGCGTGAACAATGTATGTGGAATTTCAAATGGTAATTTAGGAGAGTTAGATACATTTTAGCTGCAGGATCTGCCCATATTCTTTCAAATGTATCGATTTGTTTTGCGATTCAAGTGTATTACATTATCAGTATTGAAGGTTTGTTAGCTGTAGTGCCATCTACACTACCATTAAAAAGTAGTTTTGGAAATAAGTCTGTTATATTCACCCAGGCTGCATTCAAAATACAAACAGTAATATTTTAAAATATTATCACTATTTAAAATAACTATTCTATTTGAATATTTTTTAAAGTGTAGTGTATTCCTGTGATGACAAAGCAGAATTTTCAGCAGCATTTACTCCAGTCTAAAGTGCCACATGGTCCTTCAGAAATCAGCTATATTGTAATTTTTTAATGTTAGTTTTCTCTCTCTCTCTCTCTCTCTCTCTCTCTCTCTCTCTCCTGCAGTCATGATTACGTCAGAGGGTCCATAACCATCTACATCATCAACCTTCATCGCTCACGGAAGAAAATCAAGCTGGCCGGGACTTTACGAAATAAAACTGTTCACCAATACCTGTTACAGCCCTTCGGCACAGATGGACTTCACTCCATGTAAGTCATCATCCATGACAGCGATTTACTGACAGATGAAACTCATTAATTTTAATTTTGTTAAATTATAAATTTTTTTTAGGTTTAAAGGGGTCATATGATGCGATTTCAAGTTTTCCTTTCTCTTTGGAGTGTTACAAGCTGTTTGTGAATAGATAAGATCCCTAAAGTTGCAAAGACTAAAGTCTCAAACCCAAAGAGATATTCTTTATAAAAGTTAAGACTGGTCCACGCCCTCCTAAAACGCCTCGTTTAAACACGCCCTCACGTCTACGTCACGATGTGAGAAGATTTGCATAACACCGCCCAAATGTTCACGCAAAGAAAGAAGGCATAACTTTATTGTTGCTGCTTCAGTTTTATAGTGTATTTATATTTTTAGTTTTGGTAAAATGATATTCCCCAGTTATATTTTAAGTTATATCATATTGTACTATATCGTATCATATATCATATCATATCATACCAATCATATCATATTATGTTTTTATATATCATTTTATTACTAAGTATCTCAGATCTCTGACCTCAGCTTATTTAAGGATGTGGTTTATCCTTCAGTTCTCAATTTACTCAGTTTAGCTTTACTTAACATATTATGGTTATATTAGTATGGGAGAGGATTCCCCATTGGTGGAAGAGTTATAATACAATACAATACAATACAATACAATACAATACAATACAATACAATACAATATAATATAATATAATATAATTAATGTTATATTGTTATAATTATTCCACTGGTGCAGGTGTATAATACATATAAGAATGATATTAAATATATTATTATTATTATATTATATTTGTGTTATATTAAATTATATAAACGTATTATTAGTTATCGCAGATCTCTGACCTCAGCTTATTTAAGAATGTGGTTTATGCTTCTGTTCTCGGTTTACTATAATAATCAACGTAGAGTGTTGTTGCTTTACTAAACATATTATCTCAGACTGAACAGATAAATCTAGTGCTCCATAACTGTCTACACACGCAGCTGTGCTAACTGTTTTCTGACTAAATATTCAACCCTTCCACAAATGAGGATCCCGTTTCGCCAACACTAACCTAATCATGGAAAGGGCAAAAGAGAGAGACATGGGTCATAAAAACATAGTCTGTTCATCCTCTCATACGCTTAAATGGGATATGAGGATTATCTTGTTGGGCTCGCTTACTTGATAAAGCCAAAGTACAGCTGAAACAAACACGTCTACATCCTCAACGTCTATCTTGACCCTTGTGGATGTTTTCTTTTGAATTCTTCTGGTTGAAGCTCTTCTGAATGTGTTTTCAGTTAATGTTTTCTATCACAGAAATGTTTCATACAGTGGATACAAGTAGATTAGCTCAGCAAATGGATTTAAAATATGACATTTAGTTGGTCTTGACAGGTTCCTTCTAATAGCTTGTTCAACCAACAAGACATTAGTCATGAATGAGAAACTTCACAAATGTGATTCATTTAACAAACATCCTCGCTGGTCACAAACACTCCATTCCACTCTGATATGATTCACAGTTTGTCTGGATTTTTACTCGGCTGTTTAGAAACATCATATTTTTCACTCAAAGCCGACAAAAACACCAGAGAGTGTTCTGTTTTGAGTTTTCCACTAGAAATAATTTGAAGCCAAGAACAAAACATCAAAACGTCCATTAAACACGGGCAATCCAATTGAATTAGCGTAATAACATTGTCTTGGTTTATTGAAGCTCAATTCAAACTGAGTGTAGAGTGAAATGCAGCTTCCTTCGGGGCAGATGTTGGCAATCGTTTTGTCAGCAGCTTTCAGCTTGAATTTCAACCAGTTTTTGCTTTCCTCTCTGTTTTTTTTGTTTTTTGTTTTCTTTTGAGGAATTGTGATCCAGAAGGTCACCTCTGTCTGAGCTTAACGTCTATTATTGGGAGTTAAGCATGATACTTTGAAAACACGATCGTGCTGTTGATCAGAGAAACAGAACCTCTTTCAATAAGTCTACGCTTAAATCCCTCCGTCCCGCAACAGGAGGAACATTTGAATGAAGGATAGAAAGGAATATTCGGAAGAAGCAGAGAGTAATTATCAGTTATATCACAGAGAGCAATCTCTCATAGACCAGTATGAAAACAAACGCGTAATCATGTGTGTTTTGACAGACCTGTTCCCACGGTCAATAATCATAAACCATCCACTCGTCATGCTCGATAATATTTATAGAAATATGAAAGACTGGGCATTTTTCCATCAAGTCTGTAGTTTTTATTCATTTTATTCTCATAAAATGCAGTTATTAGGTTAATTAGTCTAGTATTCCCACCATATATTGTGTTTGTGCAGTCAGAAATAGTGAAATATGCGGCATATTTCTGTCTTCAGAAATGCCCACAGCTCCATATGGGCTGAATCAGTGTTTTCCAGAGCTAATTCAGTGAGTAACATATACAGGCAGACTATAAAGTTACTCATGACACATTCCACTGCTTAACTCCTCTGTAACGCATATGCAGGGAAATTAACTGCTCATTTTGTGGGGTCACACTTAAACACTCTCAGACAGAATTGCTCTTTTCAAGGATACGTTTTCCCTACAGTCTTCGGCCGATCTGTCTTTGTCTGTTTTGAATCATATTTCTGTAATTCAAAATGGAAACAGAGAGAAAGGGGTATTCAGAGAGCTGGGGACACTTACCTGACATTTACATTTATAGTCTTTCACTGCAGCTCTCATTTCAAATATAAACCAAATAATATTCTAACAATTATTTCTGCTAATACAATTTCTGCTTAAATACATATGTACATAATATTTTTTGAAGAAATTACTACTATGCATTAAATGATTAAAAGTGACTATGAAGACTTTTACATTGTTACAAAAAAAAAAGAATTTCAAAGAAATTCTGTTCATCTTTGCTGTCACAGGAATAAATTCATGTAAAAATATATAAAATAGAAAATAGTTATTTTAAATTATAATATTAATCATATATAATATAATGCAATATAAATTATCAGTAATTCATATTTTATTTTTTAAATAAATTAATACTAGGATGCATTAAATTGATCAAAAGTGACACAAATGTATTTAGAAGAAATTCTGTTCTTTAGCTTTGTGGTCACATGAATACATTCATTTAAAATATATTAAAAAAGAAAACAGTTATTTTAAGTTATAATAATAATATAATATAATAATATAAATGTTATATATTATTATATATAATAATTTAATATAAATGTTATAAATTGTGTATACATAAATTGTATAATATAATACATATAATTTGTATTATTTTTAAAGCATTTTTTAACATTTTAAAGGCTTGCTCTATCTATATTATTATCACAGAAAATCATTATTTTTAGGACTAGGTCTACCATTCTAATTTGTAATATGTGACCCTGGACCACAAGACCAGTCATAAGGGTCAAAATTGAGACGTATACATCATCTGAAAGCTGAATAAATAAGCTTTCCATTGATGTATGGTTTGTTAGGATAGGACAATATTTGGACGAGATACAACTATTTGAAAATCTGGAATCTGAGGGTGCAAAAAAAAATCCAAATATTGAGAAAATCGCCTTTAAAGTTGTCCAAATGAAGTTCTTAGCAATGCATATTACTAATCAAAAATTAAGTTTTAATATATTTACAGTAGGAAATTTACAAAATATCTTCATGGAACATGATCTTTACTTAATATCCTAATGATTTTTGGCATAAAAGAAAAATCAATAATTTTGACCCATACAATGTATTGTTGGCTATTGCTACAAATATACCCCAGCGACTTAAGACTGCTTTTGTGGTCCAGGGTCACATATTTAGAAAAGGAGTGCAAGTTTTTAAATGCTTAAAAATGTTCTAAAGGGCCCTCTTTCAAAAAAAATCAGTGCACACTGTAGAAACAGCTCTTTAAGTTACAGTACCTGATTTTCTTTTTTAAGCCTTAAAATCTGTTTAATGTAGAAGCTGATCTGAAAAATATCTTTTGAGTCTGAGACACAACAGTGTTGAGAACTTCAGACCTGGAGTTTCTCAAAGCAGAGCTACTGTGTGATCACAGCTGATGTTTGTGATCTCTCTGTGCCTTGAAGGGTTTGTCTTTCAGGTCTTTTCATTTTTTAAACACATACCTACATCTGTAGCCAGAGGTCGTTAGAGCTCCAGAACTATCTGGAGACTTTAATTCAATTTGCATTCTATCCAAAGGAAATGCTGATCTTCCTCTGCAGAAGCCCTGAGGGATACACCACTGACTGTGTTCTTACATACTTCTGTCTGCTTTGAATTCCTGAGCATAAATCCTCCCCGGGGGAAAGTTGATTGGGAAGATCAACAATTCCTCCTCACTGTTGCGACTGATACGTGCCGTCACACTGCGCTTCAGAAGGGCTTCAGGCCCAAAGCAAACTCAGCTTCCTGATCATTTCAGTCTGTGGCATCATAAGATGAGTTGAGGCGATGGGATGGATGATCCAGACGTCTGCTGGAAGAGTATATAGAGACTATAGGAAATGGTCAGGGACTAGACGACGCCGTTCTTTACAAAAGTTTCTCTAAAACAACAGTGAATCGTTTAAAGTTTTTCATAAGAATATTTAAAGCCCCATCTGTTAGGAAACAGTATTAACATATGATTAGACTCATGTTAAAGGGGTAGTTCATCCAAAAAATTAAAATTCTGTCATCATTTGCTCACCCTCGTGTTGTTCCAAACCTGTATGAGTTTCTTTCTTCTGTTGAACACAAAAGAAGATTTTTTGAAGACTGTTGGTAACCAAACAGTTGATGGTAGCCTTTGACTTCCTTAGTACTTTTTTATGTCAATGGCTACCGTCAGCTGTTATGTGGACCACTGACACCGATGACATGGTAATATTGTTTTGTTTTTTTCTTCCTCAGGTGTTTTATTTATCTTGATGGTAAGGAAGATGACTAAATCCCTGGCTGTGCTCAGAATAGCACAATACTTTACAGAGGCGTCATGCCAATTCAAAGTGAGGGGGATTTTTGAGCCAAGTGGATTTTGAATGCAGCTTCCAAAAGACAAAAAATAGCCAATTAATATTTTCTATATTTAATACAATCACACCGGCGTGATTATAACATTCAGTGCGTCAGTGCGTAACCAATCACAAATGATGTTGTTGAGCTTATGAATGCAATGACCAATCAGAGGTGTTCAGATCGCTAAAATGCCGGTGTTTTCTTCATTCGCTCGCTGAATGAATACCTCTACAAATTGCAAATGTGTGTACGAATCTGTAAGATATTAATTTCATAGTGTAAACAGCTTCAGTGATTTTAATGGGAGTTTTTGAGAGTGCTTGAACTAGACTGTCAGTGAAAATGTTCTTTGATAATGTAAATGTTCTTTGCTCTCTTTCTGTACAATGAAAGTGTTATGATTAGTAGCCTAACTTGCAATGTTTTTATTCACATTAACTTTCAATGTTAAATTCACATTAAATATAAACTCAGTCGTATTAAAATATGTTATGGCATGACATCCATATCTGTTAATTAAGTAAACAGACAGGTTTTTATGCATAGTTAATAGATTACATTATTAGGTTACTTTGACCATCGCCCACTATAGATCAACATAATCTATAAGGTGAGAATCATGATATTTCTTGATATAGTTAATGCGTTTGGGGATGTTTCGAATAAAAAGGAAAAAAATGAGTGCATGACGCCCCTGATACTATATTACTCTTGCTATTTTTGTAGTAATAAGTATACTGCATGTGCACAGTAAACCAATATTCAAATTACCTACTATATTTGCATATTGTTTAGAATATTATATGCCACAATGCAATGTGATCTTCCATTTCCTATGACGAAGGCACTGGAATCAATAAATTATATATAAATAGTTATATTTTGCATTACATTTAGCATTACATTTTTATTTTTTTTGAAAGAGAGAAATGAATACTTTTATTCAGCAAGGATACAGTAAAGACTTTTATAATGTAAAAAAAAACAGTTTCAAATAAATGCTTCAAATACATTTTAATTGTATTTTAAATACAACTTTGGTGAGCATGAAAGACTTATTTCAAAAAACATCCTACAAATGCCAATCTTTTATACAGTAGTATGGAGAATCTGAGTGTTCCAAACACTCTCATATTGCAGATGATTGTGTTTTCTGTAAGGTTGATAATGCAGCTGTGGCGCTCTCTAGTGCACGATCAGAGAGTTTACTAATATTGGAGACTCCCTTTACACTTGATGTAACTGGGTCCTAAAACCAGCTATTTTTGGCTAAAATTATACTTGGATTAAGGCTCCTCACTGAGCCTCAGCAGTTCTCACATTTGATATAGTCTGTAGTTTCATATATTTATTGTGTATATTGTGTACATTATTAAGGGGAAGTCGTGGCCTAATGGTTAGAGAGTCGGACTCGTAACCCAAGGTTGTGGGTTCGAGTCTCGTACTGGGAGGGATTGTAGGTGGGGGGAGTGAATGTACAGTGCTCTCTTCCACCTTGAATACCATGACTGCGGTGCCCTTGAGCAAGGCACTGAACCCCCAACTGCTCCCCGGGCGCCGCAGCAAAACAAATGGCTGCCCACTGCTCCGGGTGTGTGTTCACTGCTGTGTGTGTGCACTTTGGATGGGATAAATGCAGAGCATAGTATAAAATTACAGTTAACAACACACATTATACACAATATTATGTATTTGTATATTGTTCATTGTCTGTAAGTTTGTAAAATTGTATAGTGTGTTGGTGATGTAAAAGTAAAAGTAAAAGTAAAAGTGATTTGATATAAAACATCTTGCAGTCCTCCCATCTGCAGCATCCTAACACACGTCCCTTTGCTTTGCAGGTCTGTGCAGCTGAACGGAGAGCCCTTGCGTATGGTGGACAATGAGACATTTCCTGAGCTGAAGCCACGGACGCTCAGGGCAGGAAGAACGATAGCCATGCCACCTGTATCTATCGGCTTCTACGTCATCAAGAATATTAACGCTTACGGCTGTCGCAGATAACACACACTGACCGACCTCAGACGATATCCGTGGCCTTCTCCTTTTTTTATAAGCCCACAGAGACGTGGAAAAGACCCCTTCGTTCAAGCAAGGGTTGCACTGAATGCTTCCAACAACATTTCTCCTCTTTTTTTTCTTTTTACCACAAGAAAAGCTCGACTTGTGGAAAGTGAATGTATTTTGGTTGCCCTTTTGTGTTTTTTGTCGCTTTCAGTTGCAGGAGTGTAATGAAGTCTCACAGTGCTGTGTCCCTGAGAGCTTTGTAATCCGATGTTGAAGACCAACGTAAGCTATGAACCCAGTGCCAGTGTGCGGTTCAGATGCGGTACGATCATTACGAAGCAGATCAATCAGAATGCTCACATTTTCTGCAGCAATTTTGTGGGAAAATCTGTGCAATGGGTGTAAACATGGTCAAATTTGTTAAACAGATATGACAGCACTACATTCTCATTGGTAGCTAGAAACATGATCAGATTAGCCAAAATATTTGAATGATGAAAATGCGAAGGACGTAAGTGACAGCCGTTCCAATTCTCCAGAGTTCTGTGGGTGCGGATTCTGTGTGGGCCTGTCTGTCAGCTTAATGTGTTCCTGGATCAACATCCTTGTTGGTTCTTAAGCAACATTCCAGCTTGACAGCCAATCAGATTTTAGGGTTAGATTTAAGGGGCTAGAACAATGTTCTTTTTAACCAATCATTTCCCTTGGATTTTAGAGGTAGGTTATCCTTATGGTTGCAAGTCTTAGAACTATGATTGCTTGCTAGAAATGTTGTTCCAGGACCAACAACGGAGGTTAATCCTGCTAAATCACATAGTACAAATAACAGTTTGATCTGAATTACATCTCTCTTGTGTACTTTTTTTTGGATTCTGGGGTCTAAAGCCACTCAAAAGGCACAGAGCCAAATCTTGATCTGTAATCTTATTTTTCATTACAGGACAGTAAATATAAACCTCCTATTTAAAGCCAGCTTTATAAACTTATAACATTGACCCATGACCTGAAAAATAGGTTGCATCTCTATCCCATGAGTTTTTTCGGTTGCTGCTTTATAATTTTAAACTGTATAATGATGAAGGTACTATATGGGAAGATACAGATGCTTGCTAAATCGTCCTTATATTTCATTGCTAAATTAAACAAGGAATTACATAATACACAATCTTTATGTGATTCGTCAGTTCTCTGAGAAATACTGCTATATATTTATAATGTTTACAAGTTTGACTTCCCATGTCCTTATATTTCATTGCTAAATTAAACAAGGAATTACATAATACACAACAATCTTTATGTGATTCGTCAGTTCTCTGAGAAATACTGCTATATATTTATAATGTTTACAAGTTTGACTTCCCATTATAGCTCAGACTCTTTTGAAGGCTGAAAGGAAATAGTAGGGAGTTTTTGAAGGTGCCTTTTTGCTTTATGAAGAACTGTGTATCATACAATTTGTTGCAGAGCTCAGGAAATTAGCTTGTCTATTAGCGTCATGTACACATGCCACTTTTTTTTTTTTTTTTGCTGTAACATTGTAAACCTGAGCTTAGTTCTCTAAATTTATTTTGCTACATTAACACTACCTTATTCAGGGGCCCTGGAAAGTGTTAGACAATTAAGCCACACTTATAATAATTACTTTAGATCAAAGATATTATATCAGTTCAAGTGGTATTTATTTTTCAAGAACATTAGAACATTACATTTCACAAAAATACATTTTTTTCCAAGTCATTTAAAAAGTCATGGCAAAGACAAGTATCATACATTCTGAAAAACTGCCATTTGGCTTGATATTTTGTTGTTTTGTTTTTTTAAATATTTGTTTTTGAAAACATTTTAAGTGTTGCCAAAGTGTGCAAATACTTTTAGGGCCACTATAAATCCCATGTACAGCGATTCATTTTTGCTGCTAGCTGTCTAATTAATATTAAGCATGATGAGTGACAAATGTTTTTTTTTACAAGTACAAACCTTTTGTTATATTATTAAATGTACATACAATTGGTTTTTGATTTAAACTGTGTGCTTCATCGCTCTATAAATATTATTTATATAAATGTATATGTGTGGTTATGAGAGTGTGTGTGTGTGTGTGAATTTTGTCCACATTGGCAGATGATTATATTGTACTTTTTGTAAAACATACAGCAGAGACTGATGTTAATGTTTAGCAATGACAATGTCCTTTTAAATTCAAACGTATTGAGTTGCTCACAGTATGCACACTTGTGTATCACAATGTTTTATAATTGTATATATTCTTTGGTCACTCATTCACAATGCAAAAATAGTGATTCAGCATTCAAACGGATTATATGAATTCTGTAAAAAGTGTATTTTTTTTTCCTCCTCGGGCTTGGCTCTTTATATGGTTATGACAGCGTTTGATTTTCCAGGGTCAATAATTCTGTCAGCATCATAATGTTTCTTTAGATTCGCAAGATTCTGTTGTGATTTTAGAGAATTGTAGGGTCTTTGATTTGTGAAATGACACTTTTAAAAGCTATTTTCCTTCTTGAATGTTTTTATTGCAGATTTAGAGTTGTTAATATTTTTTCAGTTAAAGAGCATTATTTTATTATGAAAATGGTTGTCTGAATATTATTTTTGTCAAAATATATAAATAAAATATTAGTTAAAATGTTTATTGAAGATCTTGTTTTCGACTTGTTATTTACAATAGTTAATGTATTGAATATTCAGTGTGTATATACACTGTAAAAAAAGAAGTTGCTGCCTTCATTTTTTAAGTACAATAAACTTAGCTGTTTAAGTCATTTCAACTTAAATGACATTAAAATGGCTTAAAAAATGAGTTGAACCTTGTACAACTTAAAATAAAGTTGAAAATTGTTTAAAGTAATTGTAGTTGTTGTTAAAGTAATGTAAAACATATGTCATAACTTATTGGTCATAATTTTTTACATTGTGTATATATATATATATATATATATATATATATACACAGTATAGTATTTTATAATATATATTAATTTCAGTAAATGAAAACAAGTCTTCTGTAATTTTACATCTGAAATGCATTAATCTTGGTTTGGAATTTTATTTGGTTTGATATTTAACAAACAAAAATGCGAATAACATTATTCATTTTATTGTATTATTTATTACATTGTAAGTTAGTGACTACTTTGATGGTTCTTGTGGTCTAAATTTTAATAAATTAAAGTAATTAATATCTTGTGTAATTTTGCATCTGAAATATATTCATCTTGGTTTGACATTTAATTTGGTATGATTTTTAACAGACAAAAATGCTAAGAATATTATTCATTTTATATTTCATTTAATTGTTTTTACAGTGTAAGTTAGTTAGCGTTAGTGACTATTTTGTTGGTTCTTGTGGTCTAAATTTCAGTAAATGAAAGCAATTCTTAATATTTTCTGTAATTTTACATCTGAAATACATTAATCTTGGTTTGACATTTTAATTGGTTTGATATTTAACAAAGACAAAAATGCTAAGAACATTATTTTTGTTTTATTTATTTATTTTTGCAATGTAAGTTAGTGACAATTTAAAATTAAAGTAATTATTAATATCTTATGTAATTTTACATCTGAAATATATTCATCTTGGTTTGACATTTTATTTGGTTTGATTTTTAACAAAGACAAAAATGCTAAAAAAAAAAAATTCATTTTATTTTATTATTTATTACACTGTAAGTTAAAGTTAGTGACTACTTTGATGGTTCTTGTGGTCTAAATTTTAATAAATTAAAGTAATTAATATCTTGTGTAATTTTGCATCTGAAATATATTCATCTTGGTTTGACATTTAATTTGGTATGATTTTTAACAGACAAAAATGCTAAGAATATTATTCATTTTATATTTCATTTAATTGTTTTTACAGTGTAAGTTAGTTAGCGTTAGTGACTATTTTGTTGGTTCTTGTGGTCTAAATTTCAGTAAATGAAAGCAATTCTTAATATTTTCTGTAATTTTACATCTGAAATACATTAATCTTGGTTTGACATTTTAATTGGTTTGATATTTAACAAAGACAAAAATGCTAAGAACATTATTTTTGTTTTATTTATTTATTTTTGCAATGTAAGTTAGTGACAATTTAATGGTTCTTGTAGTCTAAATTTCAGTAAGGCAAAGGCCTGCTGGGTCTTGCCAGACTTTGTGACCATTGACCAAGTGTGAAAGAGTCTGAATTATGAATCCAGGCTCTTTCAGCCTTCAAAAGAGTCTGGGCTATGGGGAACTTCAAATTTGTAAACATTACAAATATGTATTATATTAGTACAATATTAGTACTATATTATAGTTCAAATATAGTATATAGTATTTATATACATATGTAAATGAAAACTGTTCAAGTACGAGCAGTGTATGACTATTTAAGAGACTGTCCTGTGACATAGAGGCTGAATTGTAGTATTCCAGCACATGTTTAGGAGTGCAAGATAGCAGGATAAAAGCAAGCTAAGAGCTCAGTGATTTATACATGGGCCTGAACACAAAGAAGTACAGAAATAAATTGTGACAGTGTGCTGCAACGTGTAACCCAAGACCGAGAGCTTTATGTCCCATCAGGTCAGGGGGAGATCATCAGCTCACTAGTCTTCAAAGGCCCGGCAGGGTCCTCATCCCAGCGCTGGAGGGGTCACAAAGGGAAGGAGCCAGTGTGTACATCAGCAGATGTTCCTTTTCCAAGCAGCTGGGACAAGACTTTGTTGAAGAATGAGAGCGAACTGTGGTGTCAGAACAATCGTGTGCAGTAAGTGATGAGAACCATTTGCACCTGAATGAGACTCCTATAGGGGATTTTGATCTCTTCTCATCAAAGCTGGTTCAAGACATGTTTTAAATGTAGATGGATTATGTATTTAGAGAAAACCAAAATATGTTGCCTTGACATGGTCATTAAATTAATATACTAACTCCAGGCAATATTAAATATTACATTTTAAATATTAAAAAAATTAAAATCATGCTATAAAACAAAACATGTCTGCAGTTCACATGTGGTTTATCTTAAAAGACTCAACATGGTTCACTCATAAA